CTCTCCCAAACATAGGCGTGGTCTAACTCTCCCATACATAGGCGTGGTCTAACTCTCCCAAACATAGGCGTGGTCTAACTCTCCCAATTATACGCGTGGTCTAACTCTCCCAAACATAGACGTGGTCTAACTCTCCCAATTATACGCGTGGTCTAACATTCCCAAACATAGGCGTGGTCTAACTCTCCCAAATATAGGCGTGGTCTAACTTTCCAAAACATAGGTGTTGTCTAACATTCCCAAACATTGGCGTTGTCTAACTCTCCCAAACATAGGCGTGGTCTAACTCTCCCAAATAAAGGCGTGGTCTAACATTCCCAAACATAGGCGTGGTCTAACTCTCCCAAATATAGGCGTGGTCTAACTTTCCAAAACATAGGTGTTGTCTAACTCTCCCAAACATAGGCGTTGTCTAACTCTTCCAAACATTGGCGTGGTCTAACTCTCCCAATTATAGGCGTAGTCTAATTTTCCAAAACGTAGGTGTTGTCTAACTCTCCCAAACATAGGCGCTGTCTAACTCTCCCAAACATAGGCGTGGTCTAACTCTCCCAAACATAGGCGTGGTCTAACTCTCTCAAATATAGGCGTGGTCTAACATTCCCAAACATTGGCGTGGTCTAACTCTCCCAATTATAGGCGTAGTCTAACTCTAAAAACATAGGTGTTGTCTAACTGTCCAAAACATAGGTTATTGTATATTCTCCCAAACATAGGCTTTGTCTGACTCTCCTAAACATGGGCGCTGTTTACCTCTCAGGATGCTTTCATGTCATCATATCACCTTCTCATTTTATTGAAGAATCTCCGACGTTCGGCCATCTCTGGTCTAATGCAGTGCTATCTAGTGTTAGTGTCACCTGGGGCGATAAACGATTTTTTGGCGCTCCTTACCGTAAAACTCAGCAGTTGGCCGATAATGCCGCCCCAAAATATACAAAAAAAAAGTGGCACCTATGCGGACCACCTACTCCGCCCCACCTTCCTGCGCCGGTGGCGTTTTGATTAACTGAGCCCCCTGGGTCACATCTGACCCACCCTAAAAAAAAAATCAAAATGCAGACGAAAGGAAATAATTTTCAAACCATTAGAACATAGTGTGGGCTACTGGGGGGTTAGATAACTTTTCGGAAGATGTGGGGAGGGGGGTGCATGCATTGTTTAGGGAGAGCGAATGCCCTCCTCACGGAAGTAAAGAATGTCTACTAATCTTGATTGCACAATTAGGGGGGGGGTAGTGTGCAGCCCGCGGGACGCATGCGGTCCTCCCGCCAATGCCTGATTTATCACAAATTAACGTATTCGTTCTCCATTCAATTGACAAAGAAATCGATTTCAACAAAAATGTGTGCTTTAAGGTCAGATAAACAATTGAACGCAGCACCTACTGGGTGTTTATCTTAATTTTAAAGTTAAAGTGTAATGACATGCGTATCGCGAAAGTGGCCCGTTAGACCTTGGCCAAGATGATGTGCATAAGGTAGACGTACGGACACATGTTGCCGACCGCGGTCAAGATGATGTCCTAATGGCAACAATGCTAGCTGATGACTTCACCATCTTGCATTTGTCGATACCAGGACAGGCAGTGCGCGCTAGGTACTTTAAGTCTTTATGAAGTTTATTCCAAAGTTATTGACTTAAATTATTTTATATTGACACCAGATCGAAAAAAAGAAATAAACAACTGTGTCACATTAACACGTTAAAAGAAAGTGTTGAAAAAAATTGCGAAGATCATTGTCCACCCTCAGATACAGATATTGACACAGTTTCAAATGTAACATCACTACGTAAAGAAAATGTTACTGATGCCTTTGATAGTGTCCCAGAAAAAAATTGGCCTTCACAAACTTAAAAAATCCAGATATACTGGCCAACTTGACTAAAACACTAGGACACATTTTAGTTTACTTTTTCAAAATTGATTTACATTGAAATTATGTAACTGATAATCTTGTACGTTGTTACGCAACTTTTGTGAACATTTGTATGCAAGAAATGTTGCACCTATGGAACTAGATTGGCATATACGGCACACAACATCCCCGGGATATTGAGCAAGGTGAACTTTCCCCAGTCTCTTCCCACTTCAACAGAAAGGAACATAAAGGTGCATTTGATGAATCCATTACGTTACTGATTTCATGTACCAAGAGACCAGATAGGGTTAAAATCGAAAGTAAAATTTATTCAGCCTTAAGGCACAATATCTCCATATGGTATTAATCAAATACTATTCTACAAATCTTTATCAATTTCTGTGTATTTCTTCTTTTTTCTTATTGCTTAGATTTTATGTATCCCTTAATATTTTGTTCCGTTAAAATTCTGGACGTCATTTTTACGCAGTACCTATATTTATATTCTTTCACTTCCTGTGATATTACTTCCGGCAACAATAAAGGGTATCTCTAATTTTTTTTTTTTTTTTTTTTTTCTTCTTCTTTTTTTTTTTAAGGGCCCACGATCAATTTTTTTATTTTTTTATCTTCTTCTATATCTTAAGGGCCCACGATCAATTTATTGATCATTTTGGCTCCTATGCATGTAGATGGGATTTGCAATGTTTCTGTTCCTGGTGTTGATGAGGAAATTTCACAGATTTCCAGTGCCACTTTGTGTCTTTTTTTTACTGTGCTCTGTATCGTGTCCTGTTAGCTGAAGAAGGCTCTAAGCCGAAACGTTCATGTCTTGTAACCTGACTCGTGTTTCAAGCTTCAATATACCTTGTTCTACTATTTCATTTACACAACTTAAATGCAGTCTTTCAATTATTAAAAAGATTTTTAGCCCGTGTTCGACCAAATTTTTGTTCACCACGAGCCGTGGCATGCAACCTTACCTACCCTTTGTTTGTTTTTTTTTGGGTTTAAACTTACTTCTCCAGTTAACTCGGACACTCACTCACCCCATCACTTTTTACTGGAAAAGTTTGTTTACGCTTCCAGAAGGATCTCCATTATACTAGATATATAGAGATAAATAGTCTCTGACGACTGCATTTCTAGACTTTCTGTGCTGGAGGGGCTATATCCCTCACTATGAATAAGACAGTCGACTTTAACCGGGGAACTTACTAAGGGGTCGTTCATTAATTACGTCAACACTTTTTAAGCAATTTTCGAACCCCCCCCCCCTTGTCAACAACTTTCAAACTATCAATGACCCCCCTATTTAATTATGTCAACATT